ATGTTATCATTCGCAGGTAAATGGATGGAACTGGAGAACATTATTCTGAGTGAGGTTAGCCTGGCCCAAAAGACCAAAAATTGTATGTTCTCCCTCATATGCAGACATTAGATCAAGGGCAAACACAACAAGGGGACTGGACTTTGATCACATGATAAAGCGAGAGCACACAGGGAGGTGTGAGGATAGGTAAGACACCCAAAAAAATAGATAGCATTTATTGCCCTCAACACAGAGAAACTAATGCAGATACTTTAAAGCAACTGAAGCCAATAGGAGAAGGGGACCAGGAACTAGAGAAAAGGTTAGTTTGAGAAGAATTAGTTTAGAAGGTAACACACATGTATAGGAAAGCAATGGGAGTCAACTCCCTGTATAGCTATCCTTATCTCAACTAGAAAAAACTCTTGGTCCTTCCTATTATTGCTCATACTCTCTCTTCAACAAAATTAGACATAAGGGCAAAATAGTTTCTGCCTGGAAGCGATTGGGTAGAAGGGGGAGAAGGAGAAGGCAGGGTAAGTAAGGTAAGGGGTTGGGGGAAGGGGAGAGAAACGACCCAAACATTGTATGTACATATGAATAAAAAAAAAAAAGTGTTTAACCTAAGAGCAGTTCATGATTTTAAATAATAGGCAGCTAGCAAAAATTAAATTCTGAATGAATGTATATTAGTATCCTATTATTGTAATATTGCTATTTTTTCCAGTGGTATTATTTTCAATTCTATTTAACATGAAATTATATTAAAATATAATAAAAATAAGAACAGTAATCATAAAACAATATTTGCTTAGTAGTCTTTACCAAAAGAGGGAAATTAAATATTTTCTTATGGTGCTATTTCATTTCTAAGACAGAAGTGAGCAATCTTTTTGTCTGTCTATGCACATAAGAAGAATATATAGAAGTTTGTGTCTAAAATTAATTATGATAGTGATGGTATACTTTATAAAACAACAATGAGAGAAAAATAAGATATTACCCTGATTTTTGTGCCTTGCCCAAAATTATCTACTGTCATTTTGTGATAAACCCAAAAATTCTAAGAAAATTCTAGGCTGACCATTGGACTATTTTTCTGAGAAGTACTTATTCTCTGAATATGACAACAAAAGTCCTATTGCCCTATTATATTCTGTCTTTCCAGAGCAGTTCCAGCAATTCTGTGACTTATACAAAGCACTTGAGAATTAGCCATAGTGCCTATGTTTCTAACCTAGGATCTAGCATGTAAGACCTCAACACAAATAACCATCATTGTTTTATAAAATGGTAGCCTTGGAAACATATCTTAGTTGACCATAAAAGATAGCTGATATTAATGAGTATTTTTAAGACTTTCATGAAAAAATCTTAAGTGTACCCTTCAATTGTTTCAGGAATGAATGATAAATGTATGGAAGAAATAACAAGTCATCTGTAATAATTTAGATATATTTTTAGATATAATCTATATTCTATTGATATTTTTAAAGTTCATAACAAACATGAAAATGTTGGGTTGCCTATAATTTTAATTTTTCTGTAAAGAAAGAATATAATAGAAATCTCAAGGGTAATTCATATGACAAATCTTGACTGGTAAAATGAGCAGTCATCTTTCATTCCACTATGAATATAGTTACAGAGAATGAGGCTTTCCCTCTAAAGACATATCACAGTCTAGAAACAATTAACAACAAAGAAAATAGCAAATGAACTGTTTGTTTGTTCCCACACATCCATTTTCTGAACTCACACACAGAGACCAGCAACATCCCCATTTAAATACTGGAAACAAGAATTAAGAAGATTAAGACTAGCAACATCCCCATTTAAATACTGGGAAACAAGAATTAAGAAGATTAAATGCATTAATTAGGATTCTGTCACTGTGACAAAATACCTGACAAAATAAATTTAAAAGAAAGAAAGGTTTATTCTGTCTTATTGCTTCAGAGGTTTCAGTCCATGATTGGTTCGGCTTATGGTGAAGCAGAACATCATGGTGAATAGTGAGTGTACAATGGAGGAAGCACACTTTATAGAGGCCAGGAAGCAAAATGAAAGAGAGGAAGGGACTACAGTCATAATATTCCCTTCAGTAGCACACATCCAATTACCTAATTTCTTTTCACTAGGCCCAACCTCCTAAAAGTTTCACCACCTCCCAATAGCATCATACCTGGGGACCAAGCCTTTAACACATGAATCTTTGGGGGAAAATTGTAACAATAGCAATAAACTTGCACAACAATACTATATCAAAAATTATATGGAAGTCTTTCTGGCTAAAGCCAAATTTAACAAAGGCAGACACAGTGATGATGATAGGTGATAAGACAGAGAGACAGATATGTAGAAGTGAGCATACTTTATGAAATGTGATCCACTTTCTTTCCACCAGTCTTACCTTCATGCCTTCGAGACAACAAAGACCATTTATGACTCCATGCTGTTTACAGTCTATTCTCTCTGCCTAGTATGAATTCCTCTTACTTCAATTCCTTTTTCCCCTTGAATACTCCCTCTCATACTCAAAAGCACAGGTTGAACAACATTTGATGAAAACTTGTTTGAAACTCTTGAGGAAGAGTCAATCATGTGTCTTCTCTGTTTAAGCACATTTATTCTCTAGAAGATATTTTGATCCCTGAGAACAAAGACAGCTCTGAATTCCAAATGCTCATTACAATGCCTGGGATATAATATATGTTCAATGAAAGTTTTTTGAATGAATAACTTATGCTCTTGACTTATCCATAATAAATTAACAAATATTTATAGCATGAATGTTTTTTTTATTTTTTTTGACAATGTAAGGAAACAATTTATGAATCTAGTAGCCTTCCTGACACTATTGATGCTGTTCCATTTTTAGAATCTTTTTCTAGAACTTAACTGCTAGATCTATATCCATATTCACCAATGAGTTCACCATCCATCCATGCCCAATTGCATTCCCTTGGCCTACCTGAAAATAATTAACCCTAGGCACCCGCTCACAAAGATGCCAGTTTTCACATGAGAATTGGCATGTACATATAGCATGAATGTTGAATAAAAGACATATCATTTTAAGTTAATAGGACTATTATAATTCAAATAAATATAAATATTATATGCCACAATTAAAATATTCTATAGCCTCGCTAATGCCATTTCTCTAATTAAATGAAACAAATGGTGATAGCACTGGGAAGATTATAATAGTCTGCTAATATAAGTTGCCCATATTCCATTCCTCTTTAGAAAGCACCATTCCTGAGAACATGCAGCCACTTTCAGGAGTACCAGACTCACTTGCCATTTCAAGTGAAAACAATAACATGCACTTAATACCTGTTTTCACATCATTCAATGACAATAGAGTCAAAGGGGTTATTTAGAAAACCAAACTCATCTACTCTTGACTTTCTGATGCGAGAACAAAAGTCATGAAATACACACTGTCCTTCACTACTGTGCAGGTAGGATTCATCTCTATGTAAAGCAATAATATCACAAATAATAATAATATCATCACTAATAAAAATGTAAGAATTCCACATTATAGATCAATGGTTATGATAATATGCTATAGGGAGTTTGAGAACTTAATGTATAGTATAAAACTTACCTGGTTGACTTAGGAAGCAGATAATAAATTCATATGCATTATAGTATTAAGTTCTAATATCCTAGAGTTCCATTAAGCTATTAATAATTTTTTAGGGTATTTTAAATTTTTACTGCTAATTTAAGCAAAATGTCATACATAACCCACATTTACAGTAAATAAATTTATTTAAGTTTTTTTCTCTAAGTATTGTAGATATCTCAGTTTATATTTTTCCTACAAAATGTACACTGGAAATGTAGTTAGAATTTTCCTTTGTTTCTCAAATACTAAGTCAAATAAATTTACTTAAAGTGTATTTTTAAGTGTGTGTTTCTATCATTTTTCCTGAACTTCTTTTCTAAATGAGAAATGACCTTCAAATGAAAAAAAAAAATGAAGCATACATGACACATAGGACAGCAGAAATTCACCAAAATTGCATTTACTGAGAAAATTTCCCATTATTTCCCTAAGTTAAAAATATATTATCAAGAGAATTTTCTTCTTGGGAATTCATAAGTGGTAAATTTCATAACTATGAATACCTCTCAAGTTTCTTTTCATGCAGTTGTTTGGTCTTGATTTCAATTACATAAAACATTCAGGAAATTATACGATACTGATAGGTTAAAATCTCTTCTTCAAATCTTGCAAGTGAAGCATATATTGACACAATCTGATATTTCTCCTTAAAAGAGAACTTTCCAAAGATTAATTTTTTGAATTACAGAGAAAGAAATGATGTCCTTTTCTGAATTCCATTTCCAAGAAAAAAAGAACAAAGCTTTTAATTTCTTGTGTTTCTTGTTTAAATTAATTTTTAGAGTTCTTTGCTTAGGAAAAAGAGTAGCAGAATGTAACATGGATATATTTCATGTGCTCTTAGTGAAGTTGAAAGCAACCGATTAATTGGTTAATGTTTTAATATACAAAATCATCCAGTGTATCTAATCAAGTGAGATAGCCAAGGCCAATGTTCCTGGAGTGAGCTAGCTCCTCAGATCTAAGACTGCTAGCAAGTGCTATGCAAGAAAGGGATTCTGTGGTCCCATGAAGTTTGGGGAATGCCTGTTTAGCAAAGTGAAATAGGTAGTGAAGGACTTTTAAGAGCATTTAATATGCTAATATCCATTGTAAATCACATCATATATTATAATAGGCACACATTATTTTCCACACAGAACTATGTAATAATAAAGTCTTTATTTTCCCTTTTTTTAGGGGGAGAAAAGGGAGCATGTCTGGGTCACTGGTCAATATACTTTTAAAAATACAACTATATCTTGATATACCTTTTTTTACACATATTCCAACATGACTTTATAACAATAGTTTACCTTTCTCTTTCACATTTGGTGGTGTTTTAACAGATGTCTGTTTTGTAATTTGCCATTTTGAGAGAGAAAGGGGTACCAACCTGAATGCTTCAAGGTACTCAACATCTCCCATGGGGGGATCAAGGCCACCTGTCCAGGCAATATTTATATTATATCCTTCTCCAAGGCCTGTTCCAACCTGAGAAGAGAAAAACACACCACAGTGGTACAGAAGAGGGCAAAGGGAAGAAAGCAAGAAGACAGGAAAACAAACACAAGGGAGCTCTTGAAATAAACATCAAACAATGCACCAAATCAGCCCAGCCTTTCTTGTAACTGGTGCTCTGGGTTATGCACTTGTTCTGCACTGGTTCTTGGTCCTGTGGGACAGGTCAGTAATCTCGTGTAATTTAAAACACCAGCAAAGGACAAGAAAATTAGGGGTAATCATGAGATGCAATTACTTGAAAGATACAAATAAAAGTGGGGCTCTAAAGAAATAAACCGAACCTCATTTGGGCTCCACTGCCGGGGAAAAAGTTGCCTTCATCATAGCGATGAAGTGAAATGTACAGGATGCTGGGGTCAGCATAAAAGGCCTGCTGTGTACCGTTTCCATGGTGAACATCCTACAGGGAAAAGAAAACAGATGACAAATACAGTCATGTCTAACTCTGTGTGGAGACAACCTTTCTGATTTTTAGTTCCCTGTCTTGCTACCCCACCCTCCGTCTCATTTTCTGTCTTCTCACTCTGTCCCTCTTTCTCTTTTCCCCTTCAGCCTGCTTCCACGCCACCCCCTTTACTTCCTGAACTTTCAGGCAAATTACCCTTTAATGCACTCATTTTTTAAACTGGCTTCTAAAAATCAGGAAACCACAGCGAGCATGCCCTGGAGACTCCAGATGAGCAGTCATTGAGAAAGCCCAGTCCTTTGGTACAATTAGATATTTATACACCGGCCCTTTGTACTCTTTGCTTTAGTGATGGAATCTCGCATCCTGTTTTATGGAGGAATTTTATGACTTATTAACTGCCAACAGTTCATAACCCTTCAGGCTTAATTAACTAGCCTCATTGGCCTCTGAAAAAAGACTAATGTTTAAACTACAAACTAGTATTTTGCAGAAGGATCTATGGCTTACAGAGAGTTTTCGCAATTCTTAACAGAACACTAAACATACGTGTGTGCATTGATTTGCCAAGTCCCACCATTAAGGTCAAAGGCTTTGCAACCAGCTGAATAAATTAGCCTTCTTGAAGAATTCAGTTCAGTTAGTAATCCCTCAGCGGTTAACGTCACTTCAAAAGAGATGCCAGATGCAAAAAGGACTTCATATTTCATTTTGGTAAAATCGTGATAGCAAAAGTCGACGACACAGGAACATGAGCTCATTAACTCTTAAATCATTTATGCCAAAGCAGGAAGATGGCATGGGACTTTATACAAACTTGTCCAATCTGCCTAATTTAATATTATGCCATGGCTTTCTTCCCAGAATCCTTCCTGATCTTTTTTTCTTTTCCCAAACTACTCTCCATCCCATCCAAAAAGAAAAACCAACCAACCAAACAAACAAACAAAACCCTGTGTCATTAAAATGAGTGAAAAATTATTAGGACATTTTTATATGATTATGATTTAAAACAACACTTATCCTTCTATTCATTTATAAATGGACATATGTCAGAATTGATACAACATATGGGAAAAATAAGATGAATAACATTTTTAAGTTTTCTTCAAACACTTTAATTGAAGGACTTTAATAATATGTTAATATCTTCGAAATAAAATAAAATGGATCACTCTTTATAGTTAATAATACATATACTTGTATTCAGCAGAATATAATTGCTACATTATTAACATATATGGTATATAGTTTCTGGTTCTATTATAAAAAGTTTTGGTAATTTTTAACTACATAATTATACTGTATTTTATATAACTAAGAATCACATGTTTTCCCAAGGATCCTACAATTTTTAAGTTAGGCACTATATTAAATATCTTGCATAAATTATTTAACAGTTACCTGGGCTATGTACTATTATTCATAAATTAAAAGATAAGAAAACTGAGAATCAGAGTTCAAGTAACACAATAAGACTACATAGAGTTAGTTGTTAGAGTGGGTCTTCAATCCATTTCTTACTCCAAATGACAAACCTATTACACTGTTAAATTTGCATTCATCATCTCTTTGATTCTCTTAGCAAATTCGTGAAATGATGTTATTGTGCACTATTTCTCCTTATTGAGGTTTATATAACTCGTGTTTATAATCTCTTGTGTAGAATGTAGCCCAAAACTGCACTAGATACAACCACAACCTCTTTTTGGTAGGATCTGAAAACCTGCATTGAACTTGCCACCCATCGTGTAGACATGCAATAATCTTCCCCTTTTGTACAGCACACATACCCAAAAGTAACTACAGAATCATAATTCTTAGGCAGATATGAATCATCTCAGAAACTTGTTCCAGCTAAAGACATACACATCAGAAAAAAATACAACTTACTGAAAATATATTAATTCCTGGATTTCTGAATATTCAAAGGAAAGGAAGGAAGAGATAGAAAAATTATTTTCCTTTATGTGAACAAAAATGAAACAATTTAAGCAACACTGTCTTTTGTGTTTGCTACTGATATCTAGAGGATGGACAAAAAAAAACAGCACTAAAGTGATATTTCCATTTCTCTTACACAATAGCAATAGCCAAGGTTGTAAGACAAATTTTGTTCTGGGCATAAATATATCCACAATTGGCAAAGCAGAAATATGTTGTCTTCATTACCCATGTTTCCCTAGGGACATTGGAAAGGTTTATTTTAAAAAGTCAAATAAAAGCCAATAATTTGTCTCAGATATAAAATCATTTGTTCATGAAAAAATATGTGGATAGTTATTATAGTTTATACATTTCTAAATAAGAAATAAAGTGTTGTCCATGTCATAGTGAAATTTCAGCAGACATTATTAATTAAAATACACAAATCCATTCTAACACACGTGCAATCCTTAATTCTGTATTCATATTCACCATGTCTTTAGAGTAAAAGTTAAATTGAAGTATGTCTTATGGTTTTGGCAACAACTTATCACTATAGTATAGCTTTGAAAACAGATTTTTTTTCAGTTTCCCTTGCTGCAAAATATTCATACAAACTACTGACTATTCAGGAATGATCTAAGGCTTCTTCTGCTTAGCAACAAATATATACTAGACAAAGACAACAAAATTACTGGTGCTTGTGAAAAATTATGGAAATGAACTGAATCTTTAAAATCCCCCAAATAGACTTGATCTAAAATATACTGGAAAATGCAAAATATCCTTTCAACATTTTACTGGTAAAAAAAATACTGTGAAAGTTAATTCTGCACAAATATTTAAAACCAATACATTTTCATTTTCATTTACGATAAGTGGAATAAATCACGTATTCTACCAGCTACTTTTTATTATTTATGATTATAAGGACTTGTGACAAAGTCCAAAATGTGTTTGATCAACAGTGCAATTTCCTCCAATTTAAGGATATTCAAAGTAACCTTTCTTTTTAAAAAGAACACATAAAAAGTATTGTTTTCTAACTAAAAGTCACATTGCTCAAAAGCTACATGAGTAATGAAGGCAAATCTACTTCTAGGACAGAGTAATGTCCTGAACACAATTGATTGCCTGTTCTTTTCAAGTTGAAAAGCAAGTACACCTGCTCTGTCTCCACACAAATGTGAATGTGTTTGTAGTCTTCTGATGAAAGAGAAATGGAATAAATGAGTCCCACAAATCAACTAGAATCGTACCTACCTAAAATGTCAACAACTATGAATTAGGCTATGATGCAAAATAGGAGATAAGTTAGTACTCTGGCTTTGTATTTACTAGGTATAGAAAAGTGCTCAGACTAGCTGTTGGACATGAACCAACTCCAACTTCTACTGGCCCTACAATTTTTGGATGTAGTTCACATCTACCAGCTACTGTGTAATGGCTTTGGATGTGCAGGGATGAAAGTCTTTTCCCAATGAAGAACCTTCGCCACTTCTCCATTGCTAACTAGCAGAATAGACCTGTCAGCCAGGGAGAACGGATGTCTCAGCACCATGTGGCACTTTAAAACTTCCTTCTCAGCAGCTGGAAGAAACAGGAATCTCCTCAAAGTAACCCTGCAGCTGCAGCATTTGGAAGACTTGAAAGTAAGAATATGTGAGCTGGTGGTGATCTCAGAGGCAACCCTTTGGACAGAACTTCATACATTCAGAGAATTTGAAGGAAAAACTTCTCATCTGCTAGAGCCTGTAGGGAAATCAGTATCCTTTGTGATTGGAAAATGGAGCAAATTCCTAATCAAAGGCCAGTAAGCTCACAGGAAACTCCTTGGAGCTACCAAGTAAATTATTTTATAAATTGTATCAGATTATCTCCTTAATATTCCTTAATTAATATTCCTGTATTAATGTACAAAAAAGAACTGTACAAAGATTTCATCTATCATAAGCTAAGCATTTTAGATTTCCAGTCTATTCTACAATTCATTACTTATGAGATTGGCATCACTAATATACTTTCAAAGGACACTCTTAGTAGTTATTATCTTCAAAGAATCCTAAAATGATAGCAGAGGAGATTTTTCAGGAAGTAAATACTAAAAGACTGTTAAGAATAAGATGAACAGTTGACTAATCACCTTCCTAGGGAATTTTGACAAATTTAGAATGCTTAGAAACTTTTATCACATAACTTTGATATTCATCTACTATCTTTTCTTCAATTTTTCAGTTATCTTTCTAGCATAGAACTTACAGAAGTATGAGCATACTGATGATTAAATGTATGATCATGTAACTCATGCAAAACAAATTATTAGTTATTTAAAATATCTTTTCAAGTGCATATGGGGAAATAGGCAACTGATGCCTTCATCTATGCAAAATGTTAACACCTTGCTCCTGTAGTATATCTAGACATTCAACACGTTCTTTTTTTTTTAATGGTGAACTATGACTTACATTAAAACTTAAACATGTTTGCAAAATACGTGAAAAGTTGGGACTGAATATTTTTCACACGAAAGTGTTTGCAGGAAGGCTACAATACAGTGTGTGAAAAACATCCATTCCAACTGAGCACTAGAAGTGGTTATCAGTCTTCCATTCCTTTTATCTTCAGTTGAACTTAGCTAAGTATTTCTTCACATGGCTTTGTTTGTGCTCTCTCAACCCTTTGGTGTGCCTGCTTAACTAAATCGGAGGGCTGGAGGGTGAGGCCATGACTTCCAACAAGATTTAATTATGACTACAGATATGAACGAGATTTAGACTATTAAGCCTTGCACTTCCAAAAAAAAAAAAAAAAAAAAACCTTTTAACATACTTTGCCTTTAAATCTTTTATCACCTGCAAAAATTAATTAAGTACAGATGTACAGGTTCAGTTTGGATGCCAGGGTTCATTTCCTGTCTATGCTTTGTCAGACAACCTATTACACCTCTTCGTGAACTGGAGGCAAACCTAAAACGGGGCTCATAAATCACCATTCAGCTCTCTTTCACCCTTTCCTGGGCTGGTCCTTTTGGTATGGGGCAGATCTTTAGCTCATTATTCATGAATATTCTTTAGACAACCTGCCAAGTGTCATCTGCATTTAAACCATTTGTTAAACAAATTATAACTATTGTGTAAGAATGTATCATGTTAAAATGCAAGACTAATCCAATGCCTGTGACTTTTAATCACTCAAGGTTTCTGCAGGGAGTCATCCTAACCTGGCATCTGAGATCTGAGATCTTTTGCGAAAGAATGACATGCTGACTTGTTTTAATAATACCACTGTTGCACAACAAGCAACATGATTGCAAACCAGGGGAAGTAGCCAATTGGTTACCAAAGAAACAGCATTCTTTCCAGCACATCTGACTATTTAAAGTCAATATTCTGTGGGGAAAAGTAAATTCAGGTTCTGTTGGGTTATTTTAACTGTGGAAGTATCAATTCATTTAAGGATCATAAAAGTTGCCCTGATCTGCACCTTCTTCTCATTAAATTGCAGTTAACACCATGAAAGTGAAACGTGAATGTTTATGGTTTCAGAACTGCAATCCTGAAATTAATGAGTTTCCACATTCAAAGGAACACACCCTCCAGTTTGCAAATGCTAAAAGCAAGACAACCTAACAGAGAAGTACAAATCTACTCCCTTTTATCTAGAGTCACTAAAAATGCAGTTCTGGCCAGGAATACATACCAGATCTACAATCAATATCTTGCTTATATTTAGTTGGTCTCTCAAGTATTTGGCGGTAATTGCAACTGAATTAAAAAAGCAGAACCCCCTGCGGAATAGAGAAGAACAGAGAAATAAGAAAGCAAATCATCCAGGAAAACCATTATAAATAATGTTCAGAGCATTTTTTAAAATGCTATATGATCTCTGAAGCCATAAATCTGCTTCTGGGAGTACCTCGCAAGATTTTTCAGTCCATCTGCTAACAATTAGAGGCTTCAGAAACATGCACAGGGCAGGTGACCGCCAGGAACCATGGCTTTTGGAGATGGGCAACAGTCCCTTGTACTTACATGGCTGCAGATTCTTCGGCATGATGACCAGGGGGCCTCACAACAGCAAACCCATTCTGTAAGAAGAAGAAGACAGGTTTTCAAAGGTCAAGTGTGAGAAGATTGCTTGGAATCCCATGCCCTACAGAGCATCACATACACACAAAAAAGACTGACATCTCTTAGACATCCACTTCCAAGCTTGTCTTCTTGCCCTCATTACCATGTCATAGGATGGACAGAAAAAAATATATGTGATCACATATTCTCAGATCATGTCTCAAGAAGAGGAGAAGGCTCCCACAGAGCAGAAGAAGAACTGGGATGTAGGAGTTCTAGCTAGCTGCCAAACATGCATGTCAGCTGTTATTTTAATGTAATTTTTCAAGAACAACTTCTTATTTTATGATATCAACATCCTACAGAGAAAAAGAAATTCACTTTGGTGTGCAGGTATGGGTCAAAGTTCAGAAAGACCAGGGAAGATCCAAAGTGAAAAAAGTTTTAGCCAAATCCCCTCAATGGTTATTTCCACTACAATATCAGCAAGATGATAAATTTGCACTCAGACACTCAAAAGAAACAAAAGAAATCCAGAAAGGTGAAAAGGAGAACAATGGAAAGCCCATATATCTTCCAGTCTATAAATTTAGCTTGGATGACTGCCAAGACTTGCAACTTTATTGGATTCCCTAAGTCAATTCTAGCACAAGTTCTGGAATTTTATAAAGAATTCCAGGGCTGAGCAGCAATGGGATCTATCCATGATCAAGGAATGCCTTAACCTTCAGATTAGTGGAAGGCATCACGGAAAGCTGAGGTAACTCCAGCATGAAGGCAGGGAAAACCATAAATCCTTGCAAAGCATGCAAGCTCAGAAAAGTTGGGTTGTTAGATGTGAAAAATCATCATTTATCACATGGTTCACACTGCCTTTCACTTAACTATGATTCAAGTAACATGCTCCAAAGAGAATGTTGCTTTAATACACAATCCTAAACTTTTGAAATAATTTTAATATACCCCAAGGATTTCTTTCCCTAAATATTTAACTGCAAGCATAAAGGTATCTAGAAAAATCATCTATGTATTTGATGTTTGCATTTTTATTATGGTAATTAACACACAGGATTAATTTGCTATAAATTTTGGTGAATGTAAATACTGGTCATTTGCTATGGTTTAAATGTGCCCCCCACCCCCAATCATGCATTGGAAACCTAATCTCAATGTAACTGTATAAGAGGTTGGATCTTTAAGAGGCAATTCAATATTAAGGTTCTGTCCTCATGAATAGACTATGCTATAATGACAGGAGTGGGTTAGTTATGGAGAGAGTGGCTTCTTGATGAAAAGGATGAATTCAACCAGATTTTCCTCTATCTTGCATGAACTCACTTGTCTTTTAACCATGTTATGACTGAGAATGAAAACTCTCATTAGACAGTAGCACCATGCTCTTGGACTGCCCAGCCTCTACAATGAGACCAATCTGCGGTATATTATTACAGCAACAGAAAATGGACTAAGACAAGACAGAAGTCAAGTACATAATACCAATAGGAATATAGGGATGGTGATAAATATATTCCTTGTTCTTGTAAGCCAGACTCAGATAGATAAATTATCATTTTTTGTCATTGGCAAAATCTAGATTTAAAAAAAAAAAAAACATGAAAGTAAAATTGACACTATTTGAGAAGAGGAAAAGGGGACCAGGGGAGATAAGAAAGGGAAATGGGGGAGCTGAATATGATCAAAATACATTGTATAACGTATATGAAAATGTCATAATGAAAACCATTATTTTGTATAATAAAAATAATTTTTTAAAAATCTCATTGCTCAGTTTTCTGACGGCTTGTCATCAATAAATTTGTTTTTTTTTAATAGTCATGCTCTTAGACCTTGTTATTACCAATAGTAACATCACCTTCCTAATTTTATTGTCAAGCATCCTAATTACCCCTGTATCTTACATTCCCAGTTAAAGCCTCATCTATGCTGGGACCTCGGATGACCTTATTTAATTTTGATCTCCATTCATTCATCCACCACCATGTTCTATTCCCTCCTTATCTAGATTAGATTTTAGGTTTGTCATTACAGTAATATCCTTGCATATACTCTGTTTTCATTGTCCCTTTCTCCCATCAATATACTTCCTTGGTATATTAGGGCCACTCAGGCTGCGCCATAACAAATACCACAAGCTGGGGAACTCAAATAATAAGAATTTATGTCTCATAGTTCTGGAGTTTGGAAAGTTCCTGATCAAGGACTGGTACCCTGGATCAAGGGTTTGGTATCTGATGAGGGCTCTTCTGGTTTGAAGACTACTGTGCTTTCATAGCCTTTCCTCTGAACACTCAGAGAGAGAGAGCTTTGGTGTTCTCTTTTACTTCAGATAAGGCACCAGCCCTACAGGGTTAAAGCCCTTGTGACCTCATATAACCTTTATCACTTCTTATAGGTCTTATATTTAAATACAGTCACATTGTGAGGTAAAATTTCAATACGTGAGCTCTGGGGAGGCACAAACATGCTTTCAGTCACGTTTTCCCTTTCTCCCTCCAACACACTCCTCTTGTAAAATTATAATTATGATTAAGGCACAACTCACATCTGTTCTAATCCTGCACCTAAGTATATGTAAAAGTCACATGGCCACTCTTCCATCAAACTTGCAATCACAAACCCCAAGTGGAGAATTCATGATGCCCAGCAATTACACTGGACTACTGAATTACCTGTCCAAGTCTTTCAAAATGAGTATTTCTACCTTCTTTTTCCTCAAATTTTGAAAAACCTCTGATCACTTGCTCAAGTTGGCTGATAAGTTGCTTTGTATTTCACTTAGAAGTATAGAAACATTAGAATAAAATGAACACATCTTCCACCACGAAAATCTACCCACCCACCTTCATTAGTCCCTAATCCTAGCTAAGAGCAATTAATTGGCCTAATCAACCTGTGCATTTTATCTCATCCTTTTCCCACCTATTCAAGCTCATCTCACCACAGCTGTCCATCTTTGCTCTGGGTTTATCATTTTTTTCTTCTATTGGATTATTGCCATCAGAGTAAAAAGCTGTAGTTTAAGTCTCTTCTTAATAAAATGTATTGAAACATAGTGACCATAGTGATGCTATGCAGAAGTGAGACCTTTAAGAGGGAGTTAGTCATGAGAGCTCCTTCCTTTGTGAATGGGATTAAGGCCTTTAAAAAAGGCTTCATGCACTATTTTTCTGGTTTGCTCTCTGCTTTCTACCATGGTGCTCCATAAGACACCATCTTAGAAGAAGATGGCAGCCCTCGCTAGACAACCAGAACTGTTAGCTCCTTGATCTTGAACTTCCAAGTCTCCAGATTCATGAGAAATAAATTTCAATCTTCTTTCAGAGCCTGATTTACTTCACTTAACATGATGTTCTCCAATTGCATCCATTTACCTTCAACCACCATGTCATTATTCCTTATGACTGAGTAAACTCCATTGTGTATAATATACCAAATTTTTCTTGATCTATTCATCAGTTGTAGGACATCTGGGTGGTTTCATAATAGCTTTGCTATTTTGAATAGTGCTTTGCTGAACATCGGTGTACAGGTGTCTCGATCTTATCCTGACTTACATTCTTTGGATAGATGCTCTGAGTGCGTATCACTGGATCATATGGCAGTACTATCTTTAATTTTATGAGGAATCTCCATACAGCTTTCCATAATAGTTGTACTAATTTGCATTCCCACCATCAGTGTATTTTGTTTTAGCAGCACAAATATGGAAGATATTCTTAAAGACATTTCCAAACACTGTTTCTAAAGAGTCCTCATCTACACCTCTAAAGAGGTACCGCTTAGTTTGATGATTTATTTATTATTGTGATTCATATGATTAATGTCCATAGCCATGCACCAAAGCACTTACCTTTGGCTCACCATTTTATTCTCTAGACTTACATAGTACTTGACATACAGCAGGAGACTAGTAAAGAATGAGGTTGAATGTATAACTCAGTGGCAGAGCATTTGTCTAGCATTGCATGACAATGAGTTGGATCCCCAGCACCAAAAGGAAAGGAAAGAAGAGAAGAAAAGGAAAATTATTTGTGATTAGCCATTACTACCCTCGGCTTTGTTCCTCTACAGTGTGACCTTGGTTTGAAATTTTTCATTCTCATGAGGGTCCAAGTGTTTGAACCTCAGCTATTTGCAGTAAGCCACCAATAGACCTTCTGTATGAAGCCACCTATTAACTTGGAAAAGGTCACTCATTAGACTAGATTTCCTCGCACACCTGTTTTGTGCTTTGTGTTATCATTTCAATATAAATATAGTCCAAAGGTTGTATGTTGAAAGCTTGTTCTCAGGCTGGTGGACTATTGGACTGTGGAAACTTTTAGGAGTTGTTGGTGAGGTATTAGCCTGCAGAAATAGGTTACTGGGAGTGTGCCTTTGAAGAGGAGGCCTCAGCTCCTATCCTCTGTTTCTCTATGCTTTCCTTGTGGCAATGAGGCATAAGTTTTCCCCTTGTCATAGCTCTCTACTTGTGATATCTTCTCCTTGGACCACAAGGAACAAGGAACCAGTGAACTTTTGGATCGAATCTCTGAGACTGCGTGCCAAAAATTTTTCAGCTTGTCTTTCTTAAATTGTTTCTCAAAGTTATTTGTCATAATGACCAAAAAAGGTACACTACCCTTTCGGCTTTATAAAAATAAGCAGAAAATGCTGTTAAATTTGAAGTCAGTCTTCCACACCAGGATTTGAGGCCTTTTTGGAAGATTAAATTTGTTAGAACTTTTCTTATTATTCTCTTAATGTCTAGTTACGAAAGGATTTGTTGCTCATTGTTACCATTTCAGTCAGGTGTTTCATTTGGTTCTTAAGAACAGCACAACACTTCGAATTTTATTATTTTTTCAATGCTCTTTTTAATACTTAATTTTTACTGGTTTTAAAATAACAAATAATTTTACTATTTATTATCTAAGGAAGATGTGGCACAACGGGTATGATGGCACCAGCCTATAATCCCCATTTAGAGACAGAAACAGAAAGATTGCCAATTTGAGGTCATCCTT